ACTGTACAATTAAATATTTTGTGTTATCCTTTAATCTGTTATCATGATCTAATGTAGTTTCATTGTGACTACTTCGAATTTGACTTATTGATTGGGTCTTGTGGAAGTTGTGGGCTATTTGAGATTGTAGGTATTTCGTTAGACTATTTCAAATCCACAAACAATCATGTTGGTAATGTGAATAAAAGTGAAATATTTGTCGAATCCCAGTTGAAGTAACTAAACTTTGGTGAATATTTATCCGTGATACATACGAATTTGCTTGTTCATCAGAATGCATGAGTTGGTTTTTATGTGGGATTTCACCTGTCCTTAGTTAACTAATCGACATCCAACGTCGGATACTGATGAAGTAGCGTGTAGAGCTAAAATACTGTTCTATTTGTTATGAGGATTAATTCCTTGTGAGAATTAATTACAGCCCAAATACTTCACTAATTTATCTTCCATTGCATTGTGTGCCTATGGAAAGGAGGAACTTTCTCTTGGTTTTAGTTTTCTTGTCCCTATAACAAATATTTGAATTGGAGATAAATGGCGAATTTGAAATTCTCAACTGAGTATGCTAACCCTTAAGTCATTATATAATCAAGGCTAAATTGGTGGATATAGCGCACTAATATCTAAATCGTGGACCAAAGCAGAGAAGCATATTAACTATTCAACATTTTAAATCACCAAAAGAAGCACGAATAAACCCTGTTATTATCATGTTGAAGTCTGATAAAAGATCAAGGCGTGGTTATCATAAACAAATGTGAATATAAAAGTAAGATGTCCATCCTCAGTGATGAAAGTAAATCTATGCCTGATATCGAATTTGGAGGTATTAGCAAACTAGAGGGAAGAATGAATTCAAATCTAGTAAAACTACTGCACATGAATATTATTGGTAGGGCGGAATTAAATTTTCTAAAACCTATTGGTTCTGAGTATCCTCATTTACATGGATGAACTAAACTTCACAGACCAAACGTTCGTTTACGTTTATTTTTATCACTGTGTCGATCACCACATAACCTACCTAAATTACTGAATCCTATCGAAACACGTTTATGCAATTATTCTGTGAAGGATTCTTTTGAATTGGTGGATCATTTAGGTAATAATATCAAGGGAAAGACAATGTGTTCATTTGACGTGACTTACCTGTTCACAAATGTACCTTTGGGAATGACTATTGATATATTTTGTGACCACATATCTTTGAACAGCCTTAGAAAAATTACCTGTTCCTTTAAAAATTTAGCACTATTATGTACTGACAAAGTCCAGTTCACATTTGAAGGTGAATATTTGGCGTGATTGATTGGGTTCCTATGGTTAGTCCGTTAGGACAGTTATCACCAGATGTGTTCATGATACATGTTGCAAATCTAGCTAAAGACCTAATCGAAATAATGTCTCTTTGTAAGAGATATATGGATGATATTTTAGTTATCTGTGAAAGAAAGGACGATATGGATTGTTTATTTGAGTAGACTTAACACTCCAAAACCACGTCATCCTTTCATGTGAAGAGGAGGAGAAGAATGGTCGGCTTCTCTTCTTAGATATGCTAATAAGTAGACGAGATGATTCAAGCAAAAGATCCATCCTTAGGAATCCAACATGGACGGGTCAATACCTTAGTCACAATAGTTACTGCCCAGTGCAATGCAAACAAGGTTCGATGAGCGGTCTGTTTAATAGAATTAATCGTGTTTGCAAAAACGACGCTACTGATGACGACGTTGGTTTGTTAAACAAAACATTAACGGAGACTGGCTATGCCTTAATATTCATAAATAGATGGAAAGGTCACAGTATATTGAGGCCTACTGTAACCTTCGCAGAAAGAAACTTGTCTACATTATTTTTCGTTTAGAGGTGATCCAAATAGCGTTTAATTGAAGCGAAGGCTTAAATCAGTTGTTAACATAACGGATTACGTAGCAAATGTCTTTATTAAGGAAAAAACAAGGTCCATGCTTCATCAAAAACCTAAAAGTCATGAAAAAAATTGTGATTTGTTAATTAGAATGTCCGAACATGTACCTAAGTGGTTGCAAACACAAAATCAAAAGACTCAATAATAGTAAATGATAAACATCGATCAGCCTCTATTTCCAGACACGTAGTTGAAACAGGTCATAGGATTGAACTTAACATGGCTTTCGTGGTGTTGTAAAAGGGCGTATATTGAGGTTTGTTGAAGTCTTAGCCATACGAAAGTTCAAACATCCTTTATGTATTCAGAAACGGTTTTTCCTCATCTTAAACCTATCCTGGTAATATTAGCTAATTATCCAGTGTGATGAGGCTTCAAATTGTTTTCCATATTATTCTGTTTCTAGTCTTTATCTACGCTTACCCCACATTTCTAGTCTAGTTGACATTTTATTTTTATATATAAATGTTCTTAACAAGTATATATGTGATCAGATTGTTTGAAATGTTTTGCGCTAATATATCACATAGTTCTGGTAATCTTCGTCTTCTTATTACACTATCCAAATTTGTGGACGGGACTAATTACTTCGAGTATCATGACCACTTTCCTTACTTATAGAGGACTTGATGTTCGGAACTGCTATCTGAAAGATAGATCACACTGCACGACAGTTCAGTTACGTGTAACCGAACAAAAGAGAGTCGAATGTAAATAATCTAATTCTCCATGTTTACTGCCATATGTAGAAGCACTATGAAGATAGCGAGTTGTTTGTAACAGTTCACAGGTGAATAGTCTTGATCGTTTGAGCACAACCAGATGTATATTGTGTTTACAAAGCTGTCCTGAAACGTTCATGGAGGAAAATCACTGACTAACATCAATATTCGTAATAATAAGACTACCACTACTTCTGCTATTTCAAACACTACTGTTACTACTATTGTTGCTTCTGTTTGTCCGGGATTAGTGCCGTGAACGCTCAGTAGTCGAGATTTCTTAGAATCGCTACCCTGAAATGGTCGACTTCCTGAGATTTATTTATGAAAATTCCCCGCGAATTACATTCATCCCACAATTGACAAGCATATACATTCCAGTGAACTATGTTTGTATTCATATGTCTAATGATGACTGAATGTAAAACTTGACCGTCCAACTGTATGCAGATAAATGCTGAGTTTTAGGAGGAAGCTCAATGAAGACATGTCCCATATTTGCGTAGCTTTCCGGCATTGTGTGACATTTTTGCACACAATGATGTGGTTTTTCTATGTGAAAGTTTTTTTCTCCTTTTTGTTCATAATGGAAAATGTGTTCTTTTCCCGCAGTGATAATAGTAATTGTATCAAGTTACAGTAACAATGGTAATGGTAGTAGCAGTATTAATTGTGGTAATAGCAGTAATCAAGGTAGTATGTATCATTACCAAGGTTTGATTTGATAATTTCGAATAAATTGAGCATTGGGTAGATTGTTATAAATAAATAATATATTTGTAATATCCCAATGAGTAGAAAATTAGATTTTCTGACGTTTCCTGACTTAGTGTAAGTCACTTCTTCAGAGAATAAATAACCAAATTAAAATTAATCCAAATTTAAATAGTACAACGGAACAATAAGAATAATATTTGATCAATCAAAAACAGGTCTGAACAAGTTAATATCATGTCATTTCTGTCAAGGTGATTCATAAGTGATATGTAAATTTGTGTATGTGTACATTGTTTAAGAATGAAAAATTGTGTGACCTTCATGGTGAGAAAGGATAGAGTTTAATTTGTAAGATATTAGGTACACAAAGAAACCTAACAATCCTGTAGAATTGAATCAACTTCAAATTAACTCGGCAATAGCAGTTCATGCCATTTCCAACAACCACTAGATTGATTTTAAAAACATCAAAATATTGCAAAAAGGCTTTCCCAAGTACAAAGAAAGGAGGGTAACTGAGCTTTCCATATAGTGCTTAATCTTACTTTTCTCAATGGAAAGGAAGTCCTCACCACACATCCTACTTGGACCATCTATCCTAGCCATTCAGTCTGATCATATTTACAATTCACACTACCATATTACAAATCAAACTCTATCCTTTCTCACTAAAACTATCGAAATTTTCGATAGTTTTGTTGTTTGATTATATTTTCCTTGAAAAAGCCTTGACCAGATTGCCAGGCGAAGCGGAATTACTTCAAATTCTTTCGCTAAGATTTTACAAATATATATTATTCCTCTTTAAGGTAGATTTGGTTTTAATCTACACAACCATTCATCGATATAATTATTCGTTTTCGAGTGTTAGACGGTCTTCTTCTCTTTGTTCATCATAGAAATCAGGTCCTAGTACACCACAGTCAATACTTATATTGTAGTCACACTATCTTTGTAAATTATGATTTTACTGTAATGACCCAAGAACATTGAAACGTTACGAAAATGATCAGCATTCAAGTCAAATTCGTATTATTTGTTTAGCTCTTATATGGGTTACATGTAACTTAAACTGACGTAATGGAGCTCAGCAGATCAAAACGGTGTCGGTTGCCATAATATGAGTTTTGCCTTATTACGGAACCAGTGTCCTGACTCGTGACGAGCTGATAATACACTCATCATGTTCATTTAAACTTGAATGCGATCGCAATACCTACCCGTTATGTGTTCTTGATTACTAATGGTTAGATTTATTGTATAAAAACATTGCAGTCTGTAGCCAATCAATAGAATATGTTGGGTCCCATATTCAGTAATGATAGGTATTCGATTCCCGAAAATAAATTTAAGCTGAAATGCCTGTTAAAAGATGACCAATGAGTACAGAAAATTGATCCTACAGTTAAAGTAAATACAATATAGTCGGTAAATACTTATTGAAAAGGTGTATAGGAACTGCAGATATCATTATGTAGTTTGTAACAAAATAGGTGCAACAAACTTAAAAGTAGTTACTATGTATACATGTTAGACACTAAAATTACTGACATACGAAGTGAACCTTCATGCACATAAAACAATTAACAAAGTTCTTAATGTGTTCAGGAGATTTACTATTTTAGACAAGTAACACTTTTCCAACGCACCTGTATTTTAGAGTAATAACAGTTCATTAGATTATGATACATATAAATTGACATATTTTTACAAATCAAGTAACTTAAATTTAATATCTATAGTGTTCCGCCTTGAATGGTCCGTCAACTGGTACACCCAGATAATCAGCTTGCTTTTTGGTTAATTTTGTTAGTTTGACACCTAACTGTTCCAAGTGAGCGGCAGCAACAGCTTCATCCAACTATAAGGAAAACAATCCAATTATCAATAGAGAATATGATGAGCACTGAAACTGAAAAGTATGCCAAAGATAAGAATCAAGTTACCAAAAACTTATAGTTCAAGTATTGCAGCACCCTACATAAACCACTTGAAACAAAAACTTGTGTATAAACTGTTTTTAGCGACTGAGTGAACACTGTCGGTTAGGCGAAGGGTCATAGAGGACAATGACTTGGTAGTTGACGAGATCTCGGGTCTTCATCAACTGAGGTGGTTAGGACATGCTCTAAGTACGCCTAATTCGGGAGTGCCTCGACAGGCGATAATTGTCGATAAAGTAGACTGGAAGAAAGCTAAGAGCGGCAAATGAAGATTGATCTACGCTATGCAGGTAGATGCAACCCAAACCATATTATCAATACTTATTCCTTTTCACTGCTATTCCTACTACATTATTCTGATCTCCTTCGCTAAGTCTTGTTAATTTCATCTCGATGTGCTAATGTATTAAGGCAGCTTCGACCAACGCACATCTATGTCAGGCTGTACACTGATGATGGCTGGATAACTACCTATTACATCCCTGTAAACACAAACTAATATGCGTTGTCTTATAACACACGCATAGAAATTATTCAAAGGAATGATAAATGTCTTTATAATTGATTGATTACTGGGTAGTGATCGATTAGTTGTAAATACATCTCAGTCATGGCCAAGATAGCTCAGTGGTAACGTCTTTGACTGTGAAGCTGTGTGGCGCGGGGTCGAACCCGTCAGGGTTTCCTGTCGACTGCTTCCAACCACTACCTTAATGATACATGTTTATGTACCTATGTTTTCAACCTAAAATAAGTAACGTATCTTCCCGAAGATGTGGAACTTGAGCAATCATAACTTCGACCTTAGTCAACATAAGGCAACTCCAACTTTCAATTTAATTCGTGTCAAATAAAGCAAGCCCTACGACTAAAAACGTAATTTACAATATCTGAACTGTGAAAACAGTCCAAACACTTTTGTCCCTAAAATAAAAGAGAACTAACCTTTTTAGGGAGAAAATGGACGCCAACTGGATACTGATCGGGTTTTGTCCATAGCTCAATCTGTGCTAGTACCTGATTTGTAAAAGAGTTTGACATTACGAAACTAGGATGACCATGAGCACAGCCTAGATTTACTAGGCGACCTTCTGCAAGTAGAATAATATGTCTTCCATTTTTTAATGTGTAACGATCAACTTGAGGTTTGATTGATTCTTTACTGACACAATTCTCATTGAGCCACTTAACATCGACTTCAGTATCAAAGTGGCCAATATTACAGACAATCGCATCGTCCATCATTTCTGAGAAATGCTCACCAGAAATGATATCTACACAACCAGTGGCAGTAACAAATATCTTCGCTCTTTTCGCACCATCTTCCATTGTTGTTACTTCGTAACCCTCCATAACAGCCTACAAAAACGATGTGTCAAAATGAAGCCGAATGAGGCATCACAAAAGTGATGAATAGAGATTGATGAGTCTTTGAATTTATCTGGCACTCGATCAACTATGCACAAACTACTAAATTTTGCAACGCAATATAAAATTTAGGATATATATAATACAGTTATAAGTACAGTCCTACTTTTCCACAACAAAATTAGTCATAACGTGTGTCACAGATGCCAGCGTTTACTTCATCAACATTGTTAATTTACCTTCAGTCTACACCCTAATGATCGTAAGTAAACAATTTAAAACGTCTCCATATTGTGAAATTTTGTTTAGAAAACAGAACTATTAATCGACTTGTACACAAATGAAAACGTTTCTTAGTTTCATTGTCACTATGTAATTGCAGACTATTAGGACAACCTCACTTCCTATGAAGGGTGTCACTGTTAACATGAGTTGCACTTTTTTTGTTTCTAGCATCTATCTAGAGGCTGTAGGATTAATCGGATGAAATAGTGATTAGTAATAAACAATGAAATGTAGGCTAAATTCTGACAGTACACATGGGCATAATTTAGATACATAAATTTAATGATCAACCTCATACGACACAAGTTAGGCTTCATGCCAATATATGCGATCAAAAACGACAGCTTAGTTCATCGACTGAGAGAACCATAATTGAAATTTAAGATAAAACATGTGAACCTTTCATTGGCGTTTACCCACAAAATTATTTTCTCACAGGCTTCTATTATGTAGTTAATTACTCCAATTCTGTCTCATTTGAGTATTTAACCTGATTTACTAATTTCTCTTATTTTATTACAAGAAACGTAACAAAAAGTGGGAGGGATATTGATTATAACTAAAAGCCATTTGGAAATTATTATTATTGAGGAAATGACCCTTGAAACACTGATTAGTTCACATTCCCTCAATAATTATGGTATAAATACACGTCAACGTAGTTTCAGTATTCTGAAATGCTTACCTGTAAAGCATTGATTGGATCGGCTTCTGTTATAAGTACACGCGCGCCATAAGAACGAAGAGCTTGAGAACACCCTTTACCAACATCTCCATAACCTGCGACTAATGCTACCTTTCCTGCAAGCATGATGTCAGTGGCTCTTTTTAATCCATCAACCAACGATTCACGGCAACCATAGAGATTGTCGAATTTGCTCTTTTGGAAAACTTCATCAAAATATAAGCAACACCCTACCTTAGTAACAGAGTCGTTAACGTTGATGGCCGGACATTTTAGTCGACCACTGGAAAACATCTTATAAAGATTCCTAACACCAGTTGTGGTTTCCTCTGTTATGCCTTTTATGCCTTCAAGATATTCAGGATGTTTCTCGTGAACAAGAGATGTAAGATCACCACCATCGTCTAACACCATGTTTAAAGGTAAACCATCAGGAAATATTAAAGTCTAAGATTATATTTATGGTGTAAGTCATATACTTGCTCTATACACCAAGTGTACTCCTCATCGGTTTCACCTTTCCACGCGTAAACTGGAACGCCCGTCTTTGCAATGGCTGCGGCAGCATGGTCTTGTGTGCTAAAAATGTTGCAGGATGACCATTGAACCGATGCTCCCAGTTCGACTAAGGTTTCAATTAAAACTGCAGTCTGAACAGTCATATGAAGACATCCAGCAATCCTAGCTCCAGTGAGTGGCTTTTCTTTGCCATACATTTGCCTCATCATAATAAGCCCTGGCATTTCATTCTCTGCTAACTTGATTTCCTTTCTACCCCAATCCGCTAAACTGATGTCGGCTGAAAATGAGTTATATTCAAGCTATAGGTCGAATAACCTACCAACTTTAAACGGTGGTTTCGGCATGATTAGAGAACAGATTCACGAGTCGCCTGAAGAATTATTTCCAGCAGATGAATATGGGACGTGTCAAACCCCTAGAAGTTGTAAAAACGACAGCCAAATTTAGTGTATGTAGGATGAAACATAAACATAGGATGTGAAAAAAGACGTAAGTATTTTGTGACACAAAAAACCAGAACTAAACACTAGTGATGTTCACATAATGTAATGAACAGGAAAACTACGTGCCTAGACCCTTATACGGTTTGAAGGAGCCATACGAGAAACTGAAAGGTCTTTATTCGCGATCTAACCGAAATATGACGATGGCCGCCAGTTTCTCTATCGAGTTACTGACTCCTGTTTAATGAGACCATGGGAGGATTACTGCGAAGTATTAGTATTGCCCTGAACACCAAACGAAGTGAAAGTTTGCAGATACAAGTGACAAATAAACATGGTTTGAGGAAAGACAATTGCGGACACCAATATAAGCTGAACATACAAATTATCGAGGTTTCTCGCTCCGGTAAACTTCCAACGAAGTATCATTATTGAGAGAGTCCGGATGTGAGTGATGCAGTAACTGTTTACAAGCAACATGGTCACTTGCCTGGACGCTCAAATGCTTTGACAAGGTCTTACGAATTTACACCACCAAAGTAAAACCACCGTTGTACTACAGGATCCAACCAATTGGTTCATGTCTGACGAACGATACCGACACACTCGAGCGCGTTCCGCGTTTGGGAACAAGGTCAGAAGTCGGTTTTCCCAAAATCCAACGATGAACGCCTAAACGTCCGACGGTTTTCCTCTTATCGTAGAACTCGAAATGACTTTATATTGACATCCTATATTATCAACCATCTCGGTGCCAACAAGTCCAATCTTTTTTCGCTTTTCGGAACAAGTTATTTTTGATGCTATAGCAAGAAGATTCGGAACTGTGATCTAAAACACTCAAGGTGGGTTGCGCTTTTCTCACCGCGTCGTTAAATGACTGAAAGGCCTAACCCTAAGAACTAGTACCAGCCAAACCAGTGAACACTTTTAAGGAGAAGTTGGATTTTCTCTGGTAAATATGCTACAATGATTGACAAGTGTCTACCAACCAACTATCCTTGTTACTGAAGACATACTGATACTGCATAAAAACTTGGTAATAAATCAACTTATAATTAAGTCATTTCAATGAACAACTCTCTTGGTTATTACTCACTGCAAGTACAGAAAAGAAAGATCTCACCATAATTAGCAATACTCGCCCAAACTATCATTTCACAGGACAGATCGTCGCGTTAGCGCGATACATTTAACCAGAGGTTCTTGCAGGTTATAACACATCAAATGCTTTTTTTTCTTGCGAAATGAGTCCATAATAAGAAAGAAATACACGTCTGTTGTACCACACAAACCTAAATGAACTAACGTGCTGAGTATCTATGACCACGTGACTGATCCAAGTTAAAGTTCGCGCCTTTTTCAGACTCTCAACCTATGTAACGCATCTCCAACTAAATTCAATAACAGGATTGTACTAAGTCTTTCCTTTTCATTAACCGATGAGTTCTGACTGCACTGTTGAATACCTATTGTAAATACAATATCGGTACTGAGACAAGCTTAAGGGCCATGGTAAGGGTATTATGAGTAACTATTGTAGATCATCGACGTAGATGATCTGTGTCGAATGACTGGGGACCTGCTAATTTCGAAGTCATACCTCTTAGTATTGTGGCGGTAAATAAATCCCCAAAATAAATAGCACTAAGTTTTCGACATTGGATGCTGACCATATGTTTTAGTGGACTCATCTAGCTGAAGGCGCTCGGTCAGGCATCCGCACCAGATCACGTGTAGTAACGCCGTGCTCAACATCAACCACAATCGCTAGCCAGATTAGATCAGAGAATTCCGATATATTGGTCATCGCCAAATATACTCTTCCGATCTCCTCGACTCTGTCTTTTGATTTCTCTTGGTGGGAACGAAATACATTAGAAGGTGTTACTGGTAGAAGCGTTGTCAAACACTGAATACCTGTGACATCATCATTGGTGAGACCGTCGTGATCTGGTACACCTTATTGCAACTGTGAGTCTGTTCCTTTTTGGGATTTTTATATATCATTGCCTTATTTTTTATTTTTTTTAAACATTGTGATTTTTTTTCGTGTTTTTCTTGGATATATATATATTTTCCCCTCGTTCATTATCGTACTTCATATTTCATCATGACTGAACAGACACCTAAAGTACTCAAGCTTAAGACCTTGTCCCCACCTTCGTTTCAACTGATGCCTTTCTGGCCCGACAACATCGAAGCCTGGTTTTGCTACGCAGAAGCCGACTTTCCGAGCACGGCGTGATCGACACACGTGCACAATTCCTCGCAGTAGTCAAGGCACTACCGCGCGAATTCAACAGGTACGTAACACCTAGTATGTTTACTAGTGATGTTTCCGATCCTTACGAAATCTTAAAACGCTCGATTCTTAAACGAGGAGACCTAACCGATCGACAAAGGTTAGATCAACTCTTCAATAACATCGACCTGCAACACGGTTCTGCGACAGACATGTTGCAACGGATGAGAGAGGTTATAGGCCCAAGAACTTTCGACGAAGGTCTATTCAAACAACTCTTCTTGTCAAAACTTCCCCAACAGGTGCAAGCAGTTCTGGTCTCGTTCCAGAACAACGCCTTAGACGAACTAGCTGCATCTGCCGACCGCATTCTAGAAATTACGAAACCTACTACCGAGGTATTTTCAGTCAAAGAAAAGCCTCACACGACTCAGAATGACATAACCGACTTATGTCACACACTCACGCGTTATCTTAGTCTTCGTACCGACCGTAAGAGATCGCGCACACCACGTAGAAGCATTTCTCGTAAGCGATCTGTCTCTAGACCACGAGAGACAGATAACCCCGACTGGTGCTGGTATCATAACCAGTATGGAAAGTTTTCCAGAAATTGCAGAAAACCCTGCAATTTTCCCAACACGAAACCGACTGATTCGAAAACAATTCGGGAAACTTCCAAGCCGGCACGCGTTAACGGCAACCGTAGCCGGCGAACAAAGCCGTCTGTTATTCGTCACAGATGTGACAACGAGAGTTCGCTACCTCGTCGACACTGGCGCAGAAGTTAGCGTTCTCCCAGCAAATCCTAACGACCGACTTCACGAATCGACCCTAAACTTACAGGCGGCAAACGGAAAACCGATCGCTACGTATGGCAAAAGGTACGTTTACCTTAACGTGGGTTTACGCAAACCCATCCACTGGATTTTCGTCGTTGCAGATGTTTCTATGCCAATCATTGGTATGGACCTTCTACAACACCACAATCTGATCATCGACACTCGCAAACGGAGGCTAGTAGACGGAAACACTAATTTGTCCGTTTGCGTAACTTCTTTTACTGGTTGTAGAGTATCCCCAGTCACAGTTAAACATATGATAGACCCACTCTATCAACCACTACTCGATACAACAAACTCAACCGAAACTACCGTGTGTAACCAGCAATGTTACACATCACATCACGACTACAGGACCACCTGTATTTTCTAAAGCACGACGACTAGCTCCTGAAAAGCTAAGGTTAGCGAAAAACGAATTCGATCACATGATGGACTTAGGAATCATACGACCGTCAAGTAGCCCATATGCATCTCCGTTGCACATGGTCCCTAAAAAGGACAGCAACGATTGGCGTCCAACTGGTGACTATCGGCGATTGAACGCGAAAACCATTCCCGATCGTTACCCGTTGCCTCACATTCACGATTTGACAGCTACCTTGAAAGGTACAACTGTCTTTTCGAAAATCGACTTGGTTAAAGCGTATAACCAAATCCCTATGGCTACTGACGACATACCGAAAACAGCTATCATAACTCCCTTCGGACTCTATGAATTTTTGCGAATGCCTTTCGGTCTAAGGAATGCTGCTCAAACATTCCAAAGATTCATAGACGACGTTTTTCGAGGTCTCAACTTCGTACACGCGTATGTTGACGACTGTCTAATCGCAAGTCCGGACAGAGAAACACATCTCAAGCATCTGGACCTTGTTTTCGAACGATTACAAAAACATGGCATAACTGTAAACGTTCAGAAATGCCAATTCGGAACCGACTCGTTAGACTTTCTGGGACACACTATCGATGCTCAAGGTATCCGACCCCTTAGAACCAAAGTGGCGGCCATTCTGGATTACCCAGAACCGACCACCGTCAAGCAATTACGCACGTTCAACGGCCTGGTAAGTTTCTATAGACGTTTCATACCGAAATGCGCATTACTTATGAAACCTCTGACCGACCAACTTCGTGGAAATGCGAAATCCATTAATTTGGACGACACCGCACGAAAAGCATTCTCCACAGTTAAGGAACTGATTGCTAAAGCAACAATGCTCGCACATCAGGACACCGAAGCACCCATTAGTATCGCAGTAGACGCATCCGACTCGGCAATCGGCATCATCAGTATCTTGTAGAACTATGGTCTACTATGATATTAGTACTGCTCTAATAATAGACCCAATCCTAAATTTGTAGATTTGTCATGATATAACTGCCTAATCTATAAGATCTTACGTGGAAGTCACACCATCGACTACACCGACTCATTGTATCGTATCAATTACCAATACATGATGTAGAACAAGGTTAGGCTAGAGAAGGAACAATATATGCCATAGTCTGTTTATACATATTTATACCTGACGGCTGATGACGCATACAAGTTAGTTGCAAGTATGCAGTTTATCATAAGGCGGAATACGATTTAATTGAGATACAGTGGTTATAAGTTATTGAAATCAGCTTATGTGTCACATTACTAGGTGATGTGTTGCTGCAAGATGTATTTGGCTAAATAAGTTTTTACAAGATGATTAATAGTGAGTGATGCTCATGTGATTACCAGGGAGTACATAAGTTGTAACCAAGGGGAGTACACTCCCAACTCATGTCTATGATAATGGCTTGAACCTTAGTCAGTGTTGGGGTAAATTCGACATTAATGTTTTCAGTTTGCAGGAGATTTGCTCGACTGCTTATTTGCATGCATGATTGTGTCACTAAACCATCAATTAGACTGACAAGGTTTTGAGATATTTACTGAATGAGCAACTGATAGAGAAACATACTGTAATCATCTGTAGTGAATGAAGATAAAAGAAAAACAACACTAGTGATAATTATAAGTCAATTTGTTGACCGATTTTGTTAATAGTTTCATTAATTTTATCAATCATATTACGTGATTGTCAAGTTACGACAATGCTTTATGACAATATCCTGAAACTATTAAATTTAACTAGTTATAGTGTTGATTGAGGATTAGTCAGTGGAAAAATAGGTATTGTTGCTTTAGGTGATTCGAAATTATCAGAAATTTATAACGTTAAAGAATCCGAGACGCCTAATTTAATTATAAATTTCAATTCAGAAATATTCGTTTAGTGTTAATTCTAGTAGGCTACGGAGTTTTGATTTTAAACGTTTATTTAGCCAACAGCTACCTGGGGATTTAGTTATTTTACTAGTGCAGTTGATAGTACCTAAATTTTTAATCTTATTATTTAAACTATGTTCGCATTTTAGGCTGCTAATATGATAAACCAATCCATAAACACAAATACTATTAGCATTAACGGCTATGATGGCTTTATTGATAAATGTTAAAGGCGATTCAGTTGATTTTTAAATTTAAAAGACATGAAGATATAGTGCAACGTATGTACGGGCCAGGTTAACATGCAGGTAGGTTGTTGACGTATATGACAATTTAAAAATAATGATTATGACCAAAAAATAATTTTAAAGTTAAGACTGCTTATGAAACTTCAGGCAGGAATATGACGCAATGTAAACATTCCATAAGAAGTTACTGCATTTAGCCTAGGGACACTTACAAATATATAGCAGAAGGAACCGGAAAACATATACATGTTAAGTAAAAAAAATCATTAATTAAAATAGTTGAACTCGCCTGGGTTATTTTTGAAAATTAGATTATTCAGCGGACGACATATATAACGCCATTCGTGAGGAGTAGTATCGATCCAAAAGCATCCAGAATAAAACATGCAGTATGGCAATTAATTCCAGGGTGCTTAATGCTGTCGGGGTTTTTGCCATTCGCTCGGAACAGAACAATTGAATAAATCCAGATAATTGTGTGGTTGTCATTGAACGAACCATCTAAAAATGACCTTCTGATTGCAGAAAACTTATAGCTGAAACTCACCGTATGTTTTTAGAGAAGTGTCATCCTTGTTGTTTGGCAATGGAACTCGAAAGTTTGAAATTAGGCAGGCAGTGGTCGGAAGAAAAGATATTACAGGATAGTGCATAGTTTAAAACAGGATGAGGTGTTAAGTGAAGGAACACCGAGAATTAGATCCAGATAACTATTCAATCCTTGATTGCATTGATAGTCAATGTATATTTACGCTATTTACAG